CCATGTCAGAGCACCAGGAGGAGGGCCAACCCCTGATGGAAGAGCAGAAAGCTAGAAGCAGCCTGGGCTCCTGAGGTCTACCTGGAACTGAGCACCTGTGACTCCAAGTGTCTATTTTTAGATGCTTGGGGAGAAAGATGCAAACCTGTGTTTCATGTAAGCACCTGGGCTAGTGCATGCAGGTCCTCTCTGGCTGTGTTGGGAGCCTCAGGCATGTAGTCATCCCTTCACTTGAGAGTACGGTGCTTGTAGGTGGAGGGTAAGCAGGTGGGCATTGGAAGTGGCTTTGGTGTAGGGCCTCCTGATTCACTGTAGGAGGCAGTTTCCTGGTGACATGTCCCTGATGTCTACAGTGAGAGAAGTTCAAGCTGAAGGTGCTCCCTAGCCTCCTCTGGCCATTTGGGACACTGGTGATTTGCTACTTGTTCCTGTCAGCCTGGCTCATGGAGATATCTGTGTGAGCCCAACATTGGATAAGAGGGTGCTGGATTAGGACAATGCCTAAGATCCTGGGATCCAGGCCCACAACATCTCCAGGAGGATGGCAGTGACACCACCCAGGAGAGGTGTGGTAGAATTAGACAGTAGGAGCCACTGGTCTAGTAGTCAGGAGGAGAGTCTTAGCCCATCGGAGACCTGGGAGGGGAACACATGAGGTGGTGGAAGTAGGGCTGAGCCCTGATCTGGGAGTGGTCTTAGTGGGGGGTCCCTTTAGGTCCCTCTGAGTGTGACCCCTCTACCCGAAGAATGTGGTACTTTCCTGACAGTGGTGCCCACCTTGTGCCTGAATGCCTAGTGAGAAAGAAGGACATGTGCCTGCATGTGCTTGGGCTAAGCCTTTATATAAGCCCGAGGACACTCTCAGGGACTTACTTGTTAGCTTTATTGTTTTACTTGTTAATCATTTAGGTGACTCAAGTTCCTTGAGGACTCAGGTACCAAATAGGATATGCAGAGGAACAAACAACAAAGTGTCATGGTGCCTTTGCTTACCCTCTCTTCTCTGCCTTCTTTTCTCAAACACACCCAGTTCCAACCACAGGGCCTTTGCACAGCCTTTCCTCCTGCCTGCAATGCCCTTTCCCTTAAGGCTAGCCTCTCTCTGTCATTCATATTTCAGCTTAAATGTCACCTCTTAAAAGGGGACTTCTCTGAGCATCTACTCTGAATTTGTCACCCTGACACTCTCTAGCAAATCACTTTGTTTTAAATCTTTGTAGAGCATTATTACGGTATTTCTTGTTGGTCTTGGACAGTCCTGTGAAGGCAAGCACTGTGTCCTTCTTATTCCCTGATGTGACCCAGCACCTGGGCAGAGCCAAAGAACATCAATATCTTATAGTAAGAAGACCAATGGCCACCCTTGAGCTGAGTATGGTGATTAAAAGCACCAGCTATAAAGTCAGGCAGACCCAGATGTCAATGTTGATTTTGCCATTGACTAGCTCTAAGATCTGAACCCAGTTGGTTTTTGATCATAGAGTCTGTGCCTTTTCCCCATTTGTAAAAGGAGGCTAATGGTAGCCCCTATCTTGTGTTGCTATGAGGTTTATATGAAGTTGTGATAGTTGGACATTTAGAAGAGTTTCCACCATATAGTGACTGCATAGTAAATTGAAGCTATGGATTACATTATCACCACCACTACCACCACCACCGTCGTCATGATTATCACCATCATCACAATCATCATCACCAGCATCACCATCTCTACCATCATCATCCCTCCACATGCCTGCCACAGAGTCCTGCACAGGTGCCACATCATGGTCCAGATGAGTAGAGATTGATGAACTAGGGTCTTCCTGCTCTGGAAAGCCACAGCCAGCTCTTCTAGGCAGATGTCTGGGTCTGATGGCAGTGACATCCCTCCCATGTCAGCAACCCCTGCAGGGGGGTCAGGGGAGGGTATGGCTTTCCTTGGGAGAATGAGCACCATGTGCAGCACTTTTAGCTCTGCAGATGTGATGCTTGTTGCCATGGTGACCGTCCTAACAATAACCTTCCAGAACCGATATTCCCCACACCCGCCCCAGCTGCCACCTGGGAGGGAGAGCCCTCCTTACTGACGAAAGCCATCTAGAAAGGATAGGGTGGGAGGCGGAGATGACATGGGGGTGGGAAGGAAGAGGGCCCTTCCTGAATGAGGGATGGGAGGCAAAAGCCAGATGAGAGGACTTCTCCGATCTGGGACCCCAGAAGGAGTCATGGCTGGCAGCTTTTCTCCCTTTCAGCCTTTTCACTCTGCTGGGTACCAGCAGAGTGGTCAAATAGAATATGCAGTGTTTGGAAGTGGGGAGTGGGTTGTTTGGAGAGTAGGGGAAAAGGTCATGCTGTTTAGGCAGGGACAGTCTGCATCCTTTTGGTAGCTCAGTTGTGCCCTACAGTGGTGCCCGGATCACCCCAACCTTCCTTGCCCTCCTCACCATTGCTTCACATCATTCTTTAATGTTTCAGCTCAGTGGAGGGGCTGCTTGGGGATCCTGGAACTAACATGAATGGAATGGGGACCTGAAACAGCATCCTTTTAGGGACCCTGACTTTCTGTGAAGCTTTGGTCATGGGAGGTCTCCTCAAACAAGGGGCATGATCGCAAAACAGACCACTAGAATGTCGCTGTGTTCTTGGGGGAGGCAGGAAAGGGGTGTTGTCGGAAGTCACGTGTGTATTTGTGAGCCTCTGAGTGTGTGTGGGAATGTATATACGGGTCTGTCTCTGTGTATGTATATATGTGTGAGTGTGTAATGTAAGAGTATGTGAATGTGTAGGTGTATATTTGTGAAAAAGACAAGAGGGGCGTTGCGGAGCATTGGGGATTGAGTCCCAGGAACTTCCTGTCTATGGAACATTGGGGAAGTTACTTTACTTCTTTGTCTCCACTGCCCCATGTAGTAAAGTGGGGTAATAATAGCACATGCCTGGTAGGATTGTTTGAGAATTAAATGAGATATATGTAGAATGCGTGTAAACAAATCAATGTCAGGTCTTATCATGATTTTAAAGCCATTTTTATCATCAAGTAGACTTGTGCAAGTAGGAGTGTCCGTGATCTTAGCAGTGTGCTGGTTGGTTTGCAGTCTGGAGAGTCTTATTTACCGAGGGTTGCAATTTTGCTCTTTTGCTAATTGTGTTCCATTCCATGTGTGGGACTGCTTCCTTCTCCTTCTGGAGCTCAGAAAGGAGCCTGCAGATGGCCCAGCATGTGTGAGGAGAGGCTCCTGTGGGGCTGAACACAATCCTGAGAGCAAGTTAATGCTGGTCTCGAGGGCCCTCAAGTCGTCGTCACCAGGGAGAGATGGGTGTCTGCTGTTAGGACAGTGCATGCATGCTTGGGTCACAGCACTACCTGAGGAGGTGGGCTCCCCTCCTATTCTGCCCTGCTGACATCACAACCACACACTCCACAGGGCCTCTCTGCCCCGAGTGGGGGACTTCCACCTTTATTGGAGTGTTCCTTGTCCTCTGGCTATCTTCTGGGTGCAAGTTGGGTCTGTAAAACCACTCCAAGCAGAGACTTCTCACCACATGGACTGCTAGTCTGCCCAACAGCCATATTCTGGAGGGGAAGGCCCGGGCTACCCCTTCCCCAAAATCTATTCATTTGATCCTTTCTTCATGAAACATTCATTGTAGCTTCTGAGGTCAGCACTGGGTGGAAGCCAAAGTAAAAGAGATGAGCAGGACAGGCCCAGAACCCATGCTTGGGGAAGCGGCAGCACAGTAAGTGGCTCATGTCAGGCTGGGAGCCTGACCCAAATCCAGGGCTGGCTGCTGGAAACTTCTTTCCTCTGGGCTTGCCAGGACAGACCCAAGTCCTGTGCCCTCTGAGGACTGTGGGGGTGCCAGAACCCAGTGGATCCTCTTTGTTCACTCTGATGTTCACGTTCTAGATGGCAGCTCAGGGGCCTGCTGACGGGGGTGGGGAGGAAAGGCTCTTAGCGCGAAATGGGGTCAAGCCAGCCTCGCCTGGCCTCCCTGGTGCTTTCTCCTCCTCCCGGGCTCCAGGGCAGGCGACTTTCAGGAGAGACCCTCTTTTCCCAGGCCAGGGAAGGGGAAGGCGCTGGGCTGGAGCTGGGAGTGGGGAGAATGTCTTTCCCTGCCTGGCCAAGGGGACTTGTGAACTCTCAGGACCCCTGAACCACTGAGGAGAAACCCCTGTTCTGCTCACAGCCCCTCAACTTGAGCTCCAAACTCTGGTTCCTGGCACCTTCATTCCAGACACCCGAGTGTCAATGAGGGAGGGGCTGGGGCCATGGCCAGCAGGTAGCCCCCACCTCTCACCTCCCAGCACCAGCCTTCTTAGTGTACACCCGTGGTCTGGGAGGCTCCCCTGCAGCTCTACCGAGGGGAACTGGACCAGGCGGCGGTGGAGCAGTGAACTGGCAGGACTGGCTGGTAGCATCTCCTCCTGGTGGTGTGAGGAATGAGTCCTGTGGAGGGTGGCACTTTTTGTCACCACCTACCCCCACTTCTTGAGCTCCGAGTCTGCTCTTGCGGTCTAGGATCACCAGGTGGGCCTTTGGCAGAAAGAAGGACGTTCATTGCGTGCAGTCCCCTGTGTGTGTGTGTGTGTGTGTGTGTGCGCAAGGGGGTCGCCAGCAGGGAGTAGAAAAGCTGGCTGGGCGGCCAGCGGTGCCCTTGTGCCAGCCAGGGGCGCATGGGCACTGACGCGTGTGCGTGTGCAGGGCTCAGGGACCCGAGTGGGTGCAGGAGCAGTGTGTGCAGGGCGCCGGTGCGTGCGCAGGGAGCAAGTGCGCATGCAGGACGTGGATGCGTGTGCGGGAGCCGGTGCGCGAGCCGGGAGCGAGTGCCAGTGCACAGCGCGGGAGCGGGCGCGGGTGCGTGTGCAGGGAGCGTGTGCGAGAGCGGGAGCAGGTGCAGCGTGTGCAGAGCTCGGGTGCGTGTGCAGGGCGCGTGCAGGGGCGCGGGCGGGGCGGGCGCGGCGGCGGCGGTGGCGGTGACAGCGGCGCCCGCGCCTCCCCGCGCGTAGGTGTGCGGCGCGCTCCAGGAGGGGCCGGAGCGAGCAGATCTCGCGTGCGCTCGCCGCCCGGCGCAGCCCAGCCCGGCCCCCGCCTGGCGCCGCAAGCCGAGGTGTCGCCCGCGCCCGCGCCCGAGTCTCCGCCGTGCCCGCGAGCGGGAGCCGGAGCCGCCGCCGCCCGAGCGCAGCAGAGCGCACGCCGCGCCCGCTCGTCGCCGCCATGGCCACCACAGTGACCTGCACTCGCTTCACCGACGAGTATCAGCTCTACGAGGATATTGGCAAGTAAGAACAGCGGCGCGCGCGGGGTCGGGCGGGGGACCCCGGAGGGCGCCGCCGACCCCGGAGACCCGGGCGCTCCTCGCACCCGCCCCGGCGCAGTGCGGCCCCGCGCGCCCCCGGCTCCTCCGGCTCCGGGCCCGGAGCGCACCGCCCTGCGCGACCCCGACCCCGGGGCCTCGGGCCGGGTCGCGGGACCTCGGAGCGCGAGGCCCTGGGGGCTTTGCCCGGTGCTGTCGCCCGGCCGGCGGCCGTGGCGCTGGGTGCGGGGCTCCGCGCAGCAGGGGCGGCAGCAGGTGTCCCCGGAGCGCCCGGCAGACGTGACGCATTTGGCGGCGGGAGGTCAGAGAGGAGGGGCGCCCGGGGGCGGCGCGGGGCCTGGAGCGCGGGGGAGGGGCAGCCCTGCCTGCGGGGGGTCGTCCCCGGCGCCGGCCGAGCCGTCTCCACCCGCACCCGAACGGCAGGGCGGGGGGTGGGCGGTGAGACCCGCGCGGTGCCTCCATCTCCGCGGAGCTCCGCGTGGGGGCTGCCCTCTGCGCTGTGGACCGCGTGGGAAAAGCCACTGCTGTGGGTCCCCCGAGGATCTGGGTTCTGGAGAATTTCCCCCTAGATCCTTCTGGAAAGAAGAGTCTGAAGAGCTAAGAGAGAGAGAGCCCTTAGCTCTTCAGACTCTGATCGGGGAGCTTGGATCAGGTCTTTGGGTTTGCGAGGAGGAGGTGGTGGGGGGAGCCAGATGGGCATCTGATTTCATGGTCTTCGAGGTAGATGGATTTGGGAGAATTATTGAGGAAAGGGTAGCAGGGAGGGGCTTTGTAAGGCGCTTTCAGGTATGTCCTCAGGAGGGAACAGGTGGTTCCTGGACTCTGCTTGCCAGCATGAGAGGTGTGGGGCCTCTAGATCTGGCTTTGCCCCTGGGGGTCAGAGACCACCAAGACTGCCTGGGGTGGGGTGGGGTGGGGTGGGGGTGGGGACGGAGGACTCCTCTTTGGCCTGGGGTCTCTGCTCTGTGAGTCAAGGCTTCACCTGGCATCCCCCGGGGTCAGGCTTCTGAACTCCTGAATACCAGGGCCAGCCCGGTGGGAGACCCATCCTCTCTCATCCTCCTCCATCCATCCCAGTCTTCCCCCACACCTCGCCCTCCCCCTCTCTCCCCTGCCATCCCTGTGGTGGGGGTGCTGGCAAGGTTTCCTCTTACACATTCAGCAGCAGATCCTTTTTTTCCCTTTCTAAAAAAAATGTATGTGGTGATACCTTGTGTTGGTGAGGGATGCTGATCATTGATAATTGTGGGTGCTGAGCTGGGAGGAGTGTGGGGGTGTGCTGATTTCCTGATTCTCCCTGCAGGTGCAGGAGGATTTGGGTCAGGCCTGGGGAGTGAGGCACCAGGTGGGGTGGAGGAAATCCGTGGCTCTGGTGAGGGCAAAGGCCGGGCCCTGAGGACCCAGAAACTCCTTTCCCTCTGGTGGGGACTGGTGGGTGCCTGGCCCCAAGGCCGGGTGGGCTTGGGGAGCGCAGTAGTGTGATGAAAGTCTAGCTTGTGCACTGTGTGTCCCGGAGCCCCCAGGACACAGGCCTTAAAGCAGCTTTCAGGGACTGGCTGGGGCTTTTCCTGTGAGGAAGGGAAGAGGGATATGGGTTGCGGGGTCCTCACATGGAGGCAGGTGGCTCTTCAAGGCAGAGGGCAGCAGTGGAAGGAAGGTCATTCCTCTCGGGGACCTTCTTGTGTTTTTTCTGCTTGTGCTCCAGATCACACGGACCCTCACAGCAGTCTCCTCCACCCCCATTTTCTCAACCCGAAGTTCACGCTGATGCCCTCTCCTTCACTTTTGTGTGAGCTCCCCCGAGTCCAGCAGCAGTAACAGGGTGACCTGCCCTCCCCCAAGTGCTGGGTTTCAGCAACGACTGGTTATCCCAGCTGCCGCCTCCCCACTGGAGAATGGAGGTCTTTGGGGGTGCCCTCTGGGAGGCTGAGAGGGGGCGGCAGACCCTGGTGGACACTGGGCTCTTCCTTTGGTCTTTAAGGACCTGAGCCACGTGACTGTGCCAGGGCATCTTGCCTGGGCCCTCCATGTGAGTGGGTGAGGAGTGGAGCCTGGACATGGAGGGGGGAACTCAGGCCTGGGGGAGAAGGGGAACACACCCCATGGGTTGAACTGACTTTTTTTGGACCAGGAAGGCTTTAGCTCAATCCAGCAGCAAGGCTCCTGGCTCACGAGGGATGCTTAGGGGCCTGTCACAGTTCCGTTGGGGTGTCCTGTGTGGGGAGTTGGCCGAGCAGGTGCAAGGATGAACATGGCAAGGAGTGAGAGAGAGGGTTGGGCATTCAGGCCACAGCCTATGCCCAGAACTGGGGTTCCAGGTGGCCATGTTGGCCAGTTGTTGACAGTGCCTGCTCTGGGCACAGTTGGTGTTGCTTCCCAGTCCCAGGTCCACACATCCAAGTTTATTTAAAGCTGCAACCCCTGGCACCAGTCAGGAGACACTGAGCTCCCTGCCCGGGGAAGGACTGGGCCACAGGCCCAAGTCTGCCTAAGTGACATGGTTACAGGCCTCTCTCCTCCCTGACCTGTCCCCTTCTCTATCTCGCCCCCACCCCACCTATGCTCATCCGTGGAGGCCTGGATATTGGGGTCCAAGGGCCTGGAGGAGCTGTTTTCTGGGGCACTGCTCTTCCTTGCCTAGCTGGGCAGGACTGCCAGGGCAGCGCTCAGGGCTCCGGGTGGACCAAGTCCTGGGTGGAACGCTAGTTTGAGCCCGGGGGCTCCAAGACAGACACAGCAGGCCGGCAAAGCCCTTGTCCAACATGGACTGGCCAGTTTTAGTTTTTTCATTTTGGATAGCTTTTTAAAATTGTGATAAACTGTGACACGAAAACTTGTATATCTTCTACCCAGAATTGAAAACTGTTACTCTTTTGTCATTTTGTCTTTAAGTTCTTTTTTTTTAATACAAGAAATAAAGCATTACAAATAAATATTAAGTAACCTTTTCCTCCAATTGCTGTCCTGCTCTTGGAAGTTATGCTTCCCACCTCTCCTCTGTACATTCACATACAGATGTAAGTATCCACCACTAATATATAGTGTTCTTTGGTGTGTTTTCTTTCAACTTTACATAAAAATTCTGAAACTTATCTTTTCTCTCAATGTGCTTTTACTGACATCTATGTGTGGTCGGTATTTTGACCTTTAACTGAACTGCTGCGTGGTGAGTGGCACTCGTAGTGGGAACCCATTATGTTTGGGCAGGTCCCCCCTTGATGGAATTTGGGTGGCTCTCCCAGATCCTGCGGTGTGTTTGCTGGTGCACAGTTGTGAGGGTCTCTTTAGGTGTGCCCCTGCAGTCCTGGGTCTCCCACCAGCCCCTCCCCTGCGCTTACCTTGCTTAGCTGACAGGTTGTGAATGTTTGAGTTTGTTGGGTAGGAGGAAGTCTTGCATTTTGTATTCAGGCTCAAGAGTTTTCCACTTTGGGAAATTGTCTCCTTTAGTTTAGATGTTCTCCCTAAAAGAAACGCCACACCCTAGAAATATTAGATATAAATTTGGGGGTTCATTGAACCCTCCCCATGCTTGAGGATGGCACTGGGGCTTATGGCTCCTGTTGTGACAACCTCTAAAGCACATCATCGAACTTTGGGATTTATTTCACTTGAATTGTCAAGGAAGGCCCCCCACCCCCATTTGATAGACAGAACCACAGCACATGGGGAGTCTGCTACTTGCCTGCACCCAGGCAGCGAGGGAGGCCCTAATCTCCAGTCCAGGCACCCCTACCCTTCTGGCTCCCCCTGAACCTTGGCTAGGCCCAGGACTGACCTTGGTGTGTCCTTGACTCCATCCAGTATACCCCAGTCTGTGGAGGGTGGCCCTCATTCTAGGGTGTGTCCTCTTGCTGGGGATTTGCCATCAACCTCTTGATGGTTTCTCAGCATGCTCTCAACTAGCAAATGGTCTGCTAGGTAGTTATGCTAGGTAGTTAATAGATAAACCCAGGAAATTCAAAACAAATCGATTTTTGAGTCTCCTGAGCTCTGAGGCCAGGTTGCCAGGGAAGAGAGGACCAGTGGTAGAGAAATCACTCTGTTTGCCTTCTCCTACCCTTAAGCACACGAGGCACTTTCTGCCTTAGGGCCTTTGCGGGTACTCTTCTCTCCCCATCATGAACACACAGTTCCTCTCCCCATCCCCGTCTTTTGCCCTCCACCCCTCTTGCTCCGTGAGGCCTTCCCAGATTTCTGGCCCCCTCCCCATCCCACTCCCTGGCTTTTGGCTTCCCCCAGCACTTGACTCACTGGGCACCCCCCCCACACACACACAAAGATGGGGTTTGGGGGCTCTCTCTCCTCCAATGCCTAGCCGAAGCGTGTACTCCTGCACATTTGGGGGAAAAGTGAGTGAACTAATGGGTCCCTATGTGTCCCCTGAGCCAGAGCCTTGATGCCTTAATGTAGGGTATTTGGAAAAGAAGTTGCACATGTTGAGGTTGCTGCAAGATGCACATGAAGGTGATGCTGGTTTAGTTACTATTGAATGGTATTTTTATACCATAACCTACTTTGCCGAGAGCTAAGAATATATCTCGCGCTTGCTACCTGCACTCTTTCTCTTCTGGTAACAGTCGCTAGCAGTTAAATGGCGCTTATTCCATGAACGCGTGAATGCTATTGTGATCATTCCCAGTTTAGAGAGGAGGTGACTGAGGCTCGGAGACGCTCCATGCCCTGGCCAACGCCACCTGGGACCAGGATTAAATCCAAGCGGTTTGACTCTGCACTCCACCTTCTCCTCCTCTCAGAAGCTCATGACCCTACTTTATAATAAATGCTGTTTATTATAGCACACATAATAAATAAAATGTTGTTATTCCACGGACTAACTCATGGCCCTCTTGCGGTCTCCTCTGACTCCAGCTTTCTGGGGCCTCACCTATCCTCGGAGGCTGCTCCCAGGCTGCCATTGTGCTTCCCAGTGGCACTGCCCCATGCTCCTTTTTATAAAAACATCGT